CCAGAGCTATTCAACAGGAATTGCATACAGTATAAGTAAATTGGGGCAGGGGAGACAGAAAGGACTAAGCAGATTCAGAGGGCACAGATAAATAACACAAACATGTTGCCCACTTGCCTGCCTCTGTTGTACCAACACCTCTCTCAGCTCACATGTGTGGCCTAGTAGATGTTCCTTAGAGGAAGAAAAAAAATTGAAGCCTGGTTCATAGATAACATGGTTGAGTATGTTGGTGCAAACCCAAAATCCACCTGGAAATAATTTTTTAGAACCATTTTATTGTAAAATAAAATGTGAAGACATAAAAATCATATAAAACAAATGTATAACCCAAGAAATTATATAAGGCAAACATCACCCTAGTCAAGAAGTAGATCTTGCCAGCAGCTCTAGAAGCTGCTTCGATGTGCTCCATCCTAGTTACAACCCTTCTTCTCACATAAATAACCACCATCTGGCTTTTATAACAATCAATTCCTTGCTTTGTAAAAATAGTTTTGTCACCCAAACATGCATCCCATCACACTATCAGTTGGTCTTGGCTGGTTTAAAAAAATTTATAACATCTTTTAAGTATCTCCTCCTCTGTAAGTTTTTCTATCCCTTTCATTTCACTTGTAGAGTTTCCCAGACTGGACTTTGCTGATTGCATGTTAATAAAACTCAAGATTTTCTTCTGTCCTCTGTTCAGAACCATAAGAGGCATATAATTCTGATTATCTATTTTATGAACTTAAAAGTCAATGATTTTTTGTGCGTATAGCCATTTATTAGAAATTGCCAAATGGTGATATGCAAATTCTATCATTTTGTTTGTTGGATTACCTTTATATTAACATGCTCATCTACTCTTTTATCACCAAGTTGTGCAATTCATATAAGAAAGCAGGATAGATGTTGGATTCCTTCCCTTTATCCATCAGTTTTCAAGATAAGGAATTGTTTCTTTGTCATTTCCAAAAATTACACACTCACATATAATCATTATGAACTCTGCAATTTAAATATTTTGATGGGGGCAGCCCGGGTGGCTCAGCGGTTTAGCGCCACCTTCAGCCCACGGTGTGACCCTGGAGACCAGGGATCGAGTCCTATGTCAGGCTCCCTGCATGGAGCCTGCTTCTCCCTCTGCCTGTGTTGTGTCTCTGCCTCTCTCTCTCTCTGTGTGTGTCTCTCATGAATAAATAAATAAAATCTTTTTAAAAATGTAAAAAAAATAAATATCTTGATGGGCTTCAATCTATTGTAATAATTGTCATTATTGAACTACAATTGTCCCACCTTTGACTACTAGGATCCCTTTAAAGCTGGATCCTGAATCATTTGACATTCTAGTAGTATTTGATAGTTTTCTTTCTATCTGGTAATATAGGACATTCTTGGCTAGTTTTGTTCATTTCTTGCTCAAATCTTAGATTTGACCATTTTTTTAAGAAGCTCTGGTTTCAAAAAAAAAAGAAAGAAAGAAGCTCTGGTTTCTTTTAATGAAAATTATAATAAGAATTATAGATTGTACCACAATCTCGGCACAAAGGATGCTTATTGTTGCTGGGTTGATCACTGCTTTTAGGTCTGTTCGGCAGACAGAATTAGAGAGGATGTGGAGAAAAGGGAACCCTCTTACACTGTTGGTGGGAATGTGAACTGGTGCAGCCACTCTGGAAAACTGTGTGGAGGTTCCTCAAAGAATTAAAAATAGACCTGCCCTACGACCCAGCAATTGCACTGTTAGGGATTTACCCCGAAGATTCAGATGCAATGAAACGCTGGGACACCTGCACCCCGATGTTTCTAGCAGCCATGTCCACAATAGCCAAACTGTGGAAGGAGCCTTGGTGCCCATCGAAAGATGAATGGATAAAGAAGATGTGGTTTATGTATACAATGGAATATTACTCAGCCATTAGAAACGACAAATACCCACCATTTGCTTCAACGTGGATGGAACTGGAGGGTATTATGCTGAGTGAAGTAAGTCAATCGGAGAAGGACAAACAGTGTATGTTCTCACTCATTTGGGGAATATGAATAATAGTGAAGGGTAATATAAGGGAAGGGAGAAGAAATGTGTGGGAGATATCAGAAAGGGACACAGAACATAAAGACTTCTAACTCTGGGAAATGAACTAGGGGTGGTGGAAGGGGAGGAGGGCGGGGGGTGGGGGTGAATGGGTGACGGGCACGGAGGGGGACACTTGACGGGATGAGCACTGGGTGTTATTCTGTATGTTGGTAAATTGAACACCAATAAAAATTAATTTATAATAAAAAAAAAGAAAGAAACCTATGTAAAATATTTGTTGCATCCAGATTGAGAGTTCCAGTTGCAACTCAAGATTTATGTAGCCTCTTTTCTATTATCTTTGTATCTCTTTTCCATATGAAAATTCTGGTTCTCAAGAACATATAGGTTGATAAAATTAATATCTCATAAGTACTCACTTATTTTATCTCATAATACACAGTTTTGAATAATAATACTAATATTACCACCAATATGGTTACTGAAAACATTTTAAAAATTCACTCACTCTTCTATTCTTAAGATAGTTATACTCCATTTACTTTGTCAGACCATTACATACTATACTTTCTCCCTCTTACCCAGTGGTGTGCTAGAACCAGCTCATACCAGCTCATACTGGTCAATTACTAAATATTTAGGAACTTTGCAAGTTGGTTTTTTATATTAAGTTATATAAACTTAACTATTACATATATTAAAGTAAAGGTAGAAAATATCAAAACTCATCAGTTCCTAATTACTTTGCTACATGCTACGACTAGCTAGGCTTTTCAGATTATTTACATGTGTTATATCTGCATGGTGGAAACTCTATATTACCATTTGTAATGGTAAGTATTGCACAAGGCTTTTCAACTCTGCATTCAGTGATATCACATTGGTTGCCTGAAATCAGCCATAGTGGGAATATTCACACCACAGAAATTGGTAAATCATACAAATTAGGACTTGATTTGTTTTTTATGATTGTCCAGACTTTAAAAAGAGATGCAAAAAAAGTTAATAATGCAAATTAAACTTAGAAGGATATAGTTTGTAGCCATTTTGAATAGCACCCCAAAAATGAGGAACTATTTGAAAACTATTACCCAATTCATCAAAGAGGTCACTTGCTGTCATTGATAAATGAGTGAACTTGTTTGTCTTACTTATTAACAGAAACAAAAATAGCAACCAACATTCATGTTAAAAGGAATTTCATTCAGGGCACCTGAGTGGCTGAGTGGGTAGAGTGTCCAACTCTTGATTTCATGATCAAGACTCTTGATTTCATGATTTCAAGTCATAATGTCAGAGTTGTGGGATTGTCCTGCTTTGGGCTCCCTACTCTGTGGGAGTCTGCTTGAGATTCTTTCTGTCCCTCACCCTTTACCCCTCCTCCTACTCATGCGCACTCACTTACTCAATAAATAAATAAATAAAATCTTTCTAAAAAAAGGAATCTAATTCATCAATGACATGAGTGACTTCTTTGCTGAATCAGATCAGAATCATGCATTTATTCAAATCGGATTTTTGTGACACAATTATTGGTGAGATAATTTTAAAAACTGGTAGTAGACTTTCTAAGAAATAGCATCTCACACTGAAGTTGTAGATATACGCTGAAAAATGAAGTGTTTTAATTTGAAGTTTATGTTAACATATATTTCATCTTCATCAGTCATTATTTTGATGTCTCTCTAGTCATTTTTGATTCTGTGAAGATCATTCTCTTGTAGATTCCTTAGGAAGGATTCACTGGAATAATGCTCCCTGAGTTCTTATTTGTTGGCAACAATTTGTGCCCTTTATCTCTGAAGTTAGTCTTACTGAATATAAAATTCTTGGCTCACACTTTATTTCCTTAAATATCTTCAATATGCTAATTCATTTTCTCCTGGGATGAAGCATTTTGTCAAAAAAAATCCAGGGATACCCTAATTTTCTTGTAAGTTACATGCTCTTTTTTCCTAGATAGTTCCCCAATTTGTTCCTTTTCCTTTAAGTTCAGTAATCTTACTAGAATGTGTCTTGTCACTGGTCCTTCTGATTCAATATCCTCAGTTATGCTTTCAATGTGAAACTCAAATCTTTTTTATTTCAGAAAAATTTTCTTAATTAGGGTATTTAGTATTTGTTCTGTTTCTTTGCTTTGGCTTTCTTTTTCAAGGGTGCCATAATCCATATAACCAATCTTCTTTGTCCATCTAAGTATTTGTTACCTCCTCGTCTGCTTGAATCTCTTCAATCCCATACTTAATTGATTTTTTGTTTTTTAATTTTTCTCTTTTCACTTTCTGTTTCTTTTAAAGGGAATATGTGATGGGTTTATTCACTCTTGTGTTCCTTCTTGTTTAGTCTTCACTTTTGAAATGATTTTTTAAAAAATTTTTTTGTCCTTTGCCAAGTTCTGATGCCTCATTTCTGAGTTTTTCTAATTATGATATATAGTAGATACCCCATAGCTTTACAGAATCTGTTCCAAGATCCCCAGTGGATGCCTGAAACCACAGACTGTACCATCATATCTATATATTATATTCTTTCCTATACAAACATACCTATGATAAAGTTTAATTTACAGTTAGGTACAATAAGAGATTAACAGCAATAACTGATAATGAAAAAAATTATAACAATATACTCTAATGAAAGTTGTGTGAACGTGGTTTCTGTCTCTCAAAATATTGGACTATACTCTCCATTCTTATGATGACGTGAGATGATAAAATGTCTACATGATGAGATGAAGTTAGGTGAATGATGTAGGCATTGTGATGCAGTGTTAGGAGACTACTGACCTTCTGATGATATGCCAGAAGGAGGATCATCTGCTTCCCCATCGCAGGTGACTATGGGTAACTGAAACCACAGACCATGAAATCGTGAATAAGGGAAAACTAATGTATTTTATTTTTTCATGTCTTGTAACATTTTCTTAATATCTTTTAGTTATTTTTAAATAGGTCATAGTTATTTTGGTTTTTTGTTTTTAAATATAGACTGCTTTGTGAATGTGCATGTCAGCCTTGTGTAGGAGCCATGCTAATTTTCTCCTATGTCATTCCAATTTTAGTGTATGTGCTGCCTGAGTGAGCACAGATCATTATTTTTATCTGTATTGTGGGCATGTCTTTCTAGAGGAGGAACATTAGTTTACTTCTTTTTCTCTTTTCTCTTTTTATTATAATAATTTTGTATGAGATTTGACTTTCATACTTTTAATTTTTATATAAAAATGGTTTTCCTGGGCATCTATACTAAGCAAAGTACAGGAAATGTTCTCTAACATCATAGAGTTCCCTCTTTAATTATTTTTGTATGGTGCTCAATAATAAGGTAGTTTGTTTTCTGAGCTTTTCTTGGTTTCACTGCCATACCCCACTTCAGTCTGACCCTTCCCTTTTCCTCATCTCTGCTGTCTCTATCCTGCTCAATTTTAATTCCATTTCTTCTTGGAAGTGATTTGTCTATCCTTGGCTTTTTGTTCTTCCACATTTATTTCCAAAACAAGTTTATCAGTTTCCTTGAAAAACTCTGTTAGAATTTATTTTTTCCTATATTTAAGTATTTAAAAATTAAATGTAGCTCAGGACGCCTGGCTGGGTCAGTTGGAGGAGCATCCAACTCTTGATCATAGGGTCCTGAGTTCAAGCCCCACATTGGGTATAGAGCCCATTTGAAAAAAAAAAAAGACAATTATATATATCTTTCATACATTGTAAGGGTAAATACTGTTTCAAGATATTTTTGTTTTATATGCATGTGCTGTACATGTGTGTATACACACACATGAATGTATCAAGACGTGTACCTCTGTCAAAAAGTATGAAAACCACTGCCTGTAAGGCTACTTCAGCCACTGATCCCCCCTTGGGCTTCCTCTTTTCAATTGGTGTTCATTTTTTAATTGACTAAACTAGACTGTTTTAAACCACATGCTTTTATTTCTGGGCCCTATACAGATCTCTAGGGGAGAACTGCTGGTAGTGATGATGGAGTTTGAAAGGGGCTGGGAGAAAAAATGCACAGAGTTTCCTACCTCCCTTAAATCTCACCCCATAGGACCAGCTCTTACACATCTGCTCATGCAGTCAGTTGGGAACTGCAGCTGGTTTTTTAGATAGCCTTCTCATCCCCTGACAGACAGTCTAGGGGTTTGTAAAATTAGACAAGAAAACATAGAGAATAAAGAAATATTAGAAATATCTTCACTCTTAGGAAATCAGTTTGAAGGCAAATAGTCCATGTTCCTCAGCCAAGGTGTTGGAATTCTGACAGATAAACCTCAAAGTGCCCTCTGCTGGCAGCCAGTATTAACCACCACTAATCAAGAATTATGAGCTACTGCAGATTTCACTGGTCCATATTTGCAAGAAGGTGATCACACATAGGGAGTTATATTTATATTTACTATTGTTTTCTCCAACTAACAAAATGGAATTCAAGCACTATTTAACTTATAAGTTAAAATAGCTCTAAATTATACAAGTCTACAGTTTTGTTGTTTTGTTTCTACAAGTTTTCAATTATTAAAAACAAATCTAAACACTATTTGAAGAAGAAATAGACTAGTCATTTATCATTGTTGAGAACTGTTATATTAAAAATAATTGGGACATTTTTATTATGAACAAGGTGTATTTCTGGAATAAATATACGCTGTATGTCTATGCTTCTAACTTTACATTTTTCCCTGGGCAAAACCAACAAACTCATAACTAATCCTCTTTCAGTCATTATGTGAAATTTCTAACAGCCTAAAAGAGATTAAAAAAGAATAAAGATAAATTCTTGGATTTATAAAATTAAATTTCCATTTACCGTGGTTAATAATTTATTACTATAGTACAGTCTTAAAAAATAAAGTTAAATTAAATGGAAGAATGAAATAATGTCTTGAAAATTCAAATAGTCCATTTTAGTAATTTCTAAACTGGTAGTTACTCATGTATTAGCATAATTGTAGGAAGATATTTAAAATATCAACATCACTTATCTTGCTCACCAAAATTAACTATTTTGTATATTTACACACTAATGTATACAGTACTTGCTTAACTTTCTTCTAAAAGGATCATAGAAATTTTATGATTCCTAATTTTCAAAGCTCTAATAATCTCATGCCTATGTACTGAGATCATTAAAACTTCACAATAACTTTGGGTATAACTCAATATACCAGTGACAGGGTTTACCTTCAAGAGAAGAGACTATGAAACAATCAGGTTTTAGATCTTTATATAAAAGATCAATAAAGTCATTTTCCAATATGAATTAATATTTATTAATTAGCTCTTTGTAAATTTTCTGTATTATCAGTTAGGCCATTCCTGATTAATAAGTCTAGAGAGTCTATTGATTATAAGTAGATCTTGGGTAAAAACACAACCATACAAAATTCTACTTTAAGAATGTTGAGGATAAAATCGGGAATGTGTGGGGCAAATACTTAACCACAGGGTTATAAATTTAATAGACAAATAGAAGCTATTTAATGCCACATCCCTTCAGAGGACTTTGAACTGTATTAAAAGTTGTAGTTTCCTTTTGTTTAATTATATACTTTGTTTCTGTAATAACTCTAAAGCATATAATCCATTGCAATGTTCCTAAGCCTTTTACATGGTGACTTCTTTTCAGTGGGTAAACAGTAATAACAATATAATCCTTGTTTAGAACTTCATCTTATTCCTGAAGATCCCTTAATTAGTACGCAATGGAATTAAATGCAACTTCAGTCTCACTATACGATTTTGAATAATTAGAAGAAAAAATACAAATTCTAAACTAAGTGCCTAAGTTTTCTAGGAATTTACTGCCACCTTCAGGTTTTAATCAAAATGCATTAATACTATAGCTTTTACATTTCTAGGAGAGTCCTTGGTTAATGCAGTAGAAATATTAACATTATTTTCTGGTTCTGAAGCAAAGCGCTAACTTAGATTGCAGTACAAAAGTCTTTCATGAGATGTGCTTTCATTTTGTCTTATCTTTTATGATTCTTCTACAACATGTAATTGAAAGTCAAAGCCTACAGTTTATCAGTCATTATAACTGTAATTATACACGGGGAGCTCCTAGAAGACTATCCAAAATATACTTCAGGATCTTTTGGTTAAATCTAATGAAAAACCCTTCAACAAAAAAACTGACTTAAAAGTTCCATGTGTCAATGTCCTCCAGCCAAAGGCCACCCTGAACTTACCTGTTTAAATAAGCTGGGCCTCCTGCTCACTGCAGTGAGAGAACATAGACCCCAGAAACTGTGGGTGGCTGAGAAAGAAGGTATTTCAAAAAGGACTTACAGGATTCTATTAGGAGATTTTTGGTAAGGCTCAAGGAAGTGTCCGGAAGTGGGGGCAATTTTGTGATTGGATATCTTGGTTAATCTTATTTATAAAACAGGAGGAATAAAGCAAGGCCAAAGATAATAATTGATAAAGAAGAAGCAGTCAATCATGTTAGGGGGAGGTTTCATATTTTTGCAGAATGACCTTGTTTCTATCTATACTTAGACAAGCCTGTGAAGGGGAGAAGGGCTTGTTTTTCTTGTCTCATTTCATCACAGTCGCAGAGTGGCCTAGTTTGATGTTGGTGCTTTATAAGGTTGTTTATGTTCAACAGGACAATTCCAAGGCCTAGCAGTGAGTGCCAAGCATTTCCTAGTTTTTGCTTTCTCACATCTACATTTGCAACTCTACCAATATCCCCATTATTTTTATTCCTTGAATTTGTGGTGAAATTACAAGTTTATTATAATTTTTAAGATAAAAATCAGAATATGAAGCCCTAGTGATTGTGATAAGTGTTGCAAGGGTCAGAAACACAGCTCACAAAAAAAAGGCGGGGGGGATTCATTAGAAGACTCATGTAACATAAGAAAGATCATGGTACACATAGACTGTGGGTCAGCTGGAAGCAGGAAGTTAAAAGCCAAGAAACTACCTGTCTGTCTTCCATCTCTTCAGCTCCCTGTTGTCTTTCTACACAGGGCAGGAAATGTAATTGTCTGTAGTCCTCAAACTTTGTTGTCTTCTCGGGTACAATATGGAAGGAAGACTGCTTCTGTTTCCACAGTTACAGCTTGAAAGATCCAGCAATGGGTTCTAACCAGGCCAGCCTGAGTTACATGCCTGCCTGGTCTCAACAACTGTGACTGAGACTGGCAGACCATAAGAGAAATGGATGCTCCTGTTGGGAGCCACATGGTTCAGGGAAAAGCCTTTCTTAGAAAAAGTGGAACTACAGTGGCCTGCAGACAAAAGAACTGAGGCCCAGGAGAGAATAAAAATAAATAAATAAATAAATAAATAAATAAATAAATAAATAAATAAATAAATAAATAAATAAATAAATGAAGGAAAAATCAGTTCTGGGTTTTAGAAACATAACATTTGCTATAAAGAAAAAGGGCAAGAAGCAAGGAGACCAATTAGGCCATCACAATCATCCCAGTAAACTATACTAAAAGCTTGAATTAGAGCAGCATCTGGGGCATGAGACAAAAGAGGGTGATTTCAGAAAATGTTTGAGTTAAAATCTATAGGACTTGATAATTAGATAGGGGCAGCTAAAATATATAAATAGCCATTATATAGGATTTATCATGTAACAGCCACTGTTTTAAGCACATGGCATATATTAATTCACTGAATCCTCATCACAACCCTATGAAACATTAAGTATTATTTTCATTTTCAGATGAGGACATTATGAAGCACACAAAGGTTAAGAAATTGCCCACGGCCAAATTACTGGTGAGTGGCAGAGTTCACATACACTTAGTCTTGTTCTGAAGCCCATGAATGTAGTCAGCTGCCACAGCTTCCCCAAGGCCTGAATGTGGGTAGATGGCAGCATGAATCAAGAGCAGGAACAGAGGAGGAATACAAGCAGGGTTGGGGGAAGGGATGTGAAGAAGAAATAGTACTTGGTTTTGTATGTGTTAAGTTCAAAAAGTGTGACAACCAGATGAGAATGCCCAGCAGGTAACTTGTCATACATAACTCGGGTGAGGGCAGAGATTTAGATTTGGGATTGTCAGAACATATGTGGTAGCTGAAGTCAATGAAGTGAGTGAAGACTTCTAAAAAGAGC